ACAGTCCCAGGGCACATTGGTGCACAGATGTTTTGCCAAGTTCTTCAGTGAAGACACGTGGCACTAAGTAACCATGGCAGCAAACCACTACAAGTATTTGTGAAGCATTGTTTTGGGGGGTGGGGTACAGACCTAGTCTAAACCCTGTCTAAAAGAAAAAAAATATCTAAGCCATACCAATTCTACCTTAGTCATGGTTATCTGATACTTTAAAAACACCGGAAATATCTATACGCATCACAATGCTTATCTGGAAGCTCAGGAAATGTTTCGGACAGAGGGTAGAAAGATGGAAAGATCCAGAAGTTGGGAGGACTTCTGGGAAGCAATGTCCCCTGAGAGTGACCCAGCTGCTGCACTCAGGAATTCACAGCAGCTGTAGTTTCTTGTTAAACCTGCCCCAGATCAAGCTGGTTGTGGCTGCTGGGGGTGAGTCATTTTTCGACGGTGTGGCCTCTGGTAGGGTATCAGTGCTCCAGTGTGTGGGCTCGCACCACCACTATGCATTTAATAGGATTATTTAGAAAAGAATAAAGAAAGGAAAATGGAAGACAAGAAGTTGGGAGTCACTGGAGTTGGTCCAGAAGGAGTAAGAAAAGAGGGGGTGGATTTGATGAAGATATATTATATACAAGTAGGTAATTCTCAAAAAAATCAAAATATTATATTAAAATCACTCTTAATTGAGAGTTGTTAGCAGTGAATAGCATCACTGAAGGAAGACTTACCATGTGACATGCAGGAGAGAGAGAGAGAGAGAGAGAGAGAGAGGGAGAGAAAAGCAAGCACACTAGAACTGGCCCACTGTAAGCCATTATGAAATAAATTACTAGGAAAAGTCTATAGTCTGCATGGTGGAGTTATTCTGGTGTGAATATTATGCCTTTGATATTTTATCATTAAAAAGATTTTCCTTTATTAGTATATTTTTAAAGTTTTTTTTTTGTTTTTATTGAGCTGTACATTTTTCTTCACTCCCCTCCTTCCCTCCCCTCTCCCCTTCTACCATTCCCTGTGACCCCCCACGCTCCAAATTTACTCAGGAGATCTTGTTTTTTTCTCCTTCCTGTGTGGATCCATGCATCTCTTAGGGTGCTCTTTGTTGTCTAGGTTTTCTGTCTGCCCTTGATCTTAAAGTTACCATGTACCACACAGCTCTCTTCTCCGTGAAGACTGCCTGAGAGCAAAACCTACTCCACCAACTCTTCCCTCTGTCTGAACTTTTTAGGTTTGTTAACATGAATAATTTGAAAATTAATCTTACGTGACTCAGTGTCATATATAGAGTTTTTATTTAGCTTTGATTGTGAGAGTCTTTGTTTGTGTTTTCTGGGAATGCACACCTTCCTCTTAACGTCTAGTTTAAACTGTGGATGTGAAATCGTCTGTCTTGCACATTGCACATTCATAATTCTAATTTGTAGCTTCCTTCCCATCCTTTATATCAGCGGAGCCTATCAAAGTCTCTTTTTTTCTCTGACAGTTACCCAATGAAACTAGAATACTTAACTTGAAGTTAGATACTTGCTACTGAAAGTTAAATAAACTCAAAGAAAAACAAATGTTCCCTCTTCCCTTCCAAGGGGTAATAACTTCCAGATAATATTTTTTGGCATCTAATGCTTTTGCAGATGTTGTGTATAATAAAGGGTATGCTCTCAGAAATCCAGAGACTGTCATGTCTTACGAATTCTAATTTTCAAGATAGTTCCACAGTTCCATGGTTTCATCCCTTACTTGATTTGTGGTCCTAAAATTAATATTTAATTTGATAATCTATCTTTAAAGGCATAAATAATTTTGAGTTTTTTTCTTTAGAGTCATACACAATCCTTAGCCTCTGTATTTTGTCACATTGTATAGAAGTCAGAATAAAACCCATGGCTTTCTAGGTTTCCTAATTTGGCAGAAGTAGAGAATCTGATATCACTTTCATGACATCAGCCTTACTCTGAGTATAATAATGTTTAGTGTGGTCATTTGATTAAATTAGTTGTAAATACTGCCTGAGTAAAAAGCACCACACGTATCAGCGCATTAGAGTTTCCAACCACAGCATGGGTTCAGAGCAGTGAGCATCAAGGGAATGGCTGTGTTCTGCAGGCAGCATGTTGAGATTGCTGTGTGGAGAGAGTTCTGGGGCTTTGGGTCAAGAGGAGTGAGTCTGAGTCCAGTGACACCGTCAGTAGTGGTGGAGCTGCGGGGAAATCATTTGTCCTTCTAGAATCACCACTCCAGTGTGGAAAGCTGGAGAAACAGGAACTTACCATGAGAGTCGGCATCTCCTTAAGGACAGACATGGCTAAATGCAGGGAAAAGTGCTTCTAGCTCTGCTGTGTGAGAATGTGCTGTGACTGTGTGAGTGCTGACCATGAGGAGATGACAGGACGGCCACCCAGAGATAAATTTCCTTGTATGTCTACTTAAGGTTTCTGTCTACTTACAGGGGATTTCAGAATCGGACTCTCAGGCTATAATGACTTATTTTGAGCAGATGCTATGAAAGTCACTGTACTAAATGTTGAGAATACAAACTCCTTTAAGACAGCGAATTTTCTCTCAGAGATCTTACCAGGTAGTAAAGAAAGAGACATGCTCACAATATAGGTGATAAGGCTGAATAGCTGCCTAGTATATATTGTATGCCATTTAAGTGTCAAAGACACAGCTCAGCTCTTGAATGACAGAAAAAGGCCCTGGCATGAGACCTTACATCACATCTCTCAGACTCGGCATCCAGTGAGCTGCAGGCTCTTGGATGGCAGAGGTCTGCGTTGCGGGAGAGTCATAATGATCACATACAAGGTCAGGCCATCCACATGGGCTTCTGGGACTCTCTGTATTCAGGTCAACTGCAGTGCACTTTTCAGGGAAATTGTGTGTGTGTGCATGTGTGTGTGTGTGTGTGTGTGTGTGTGTGTGTGTGTGAGAAAGAGAGAGAGAGAGAGAGAGAGAGAGAGAGAGAGAGAGAGAGAAGAGTATACGGTAGGGATAGAGAAAGAAAGAGGTAGCAACAGAATGGAAGGAGAGGAATTTGTTCATTTGTTTAAGGGAATAGAATAAAAGCTAACAAATTAAGGCATCTTGGAAAATTCTGTCTATAAATTACAGCTATAAAATGAAAACAATTTTTTCTGAGTACACAATGAGAACAAAAAGCTATGTGCTTTTATTGAATTATGAACAGTAATCTTCTATAAGAACTAGAATCTTTATATAATTCTCTATTATTTACATTATTACTAAAAACTCTAATACGATTATGAACATTCACAATAGATTTAACTATCCTCTGCACCAGGGAGGGTGCTTTATGTAGTGGAGACAGTCAGTAAGTACATGAACATACACAAGAGAGTTAAAGGAAGCAAAAAAAAGAAAAGAAAAGAAAACACAAAAGGGAGGAAGCAAGAAAGGGGAGGGCAAATAGAACTGGACATTCACTTTGAAATTTTACTTGTATTTTTGATAGGTAGGAAATTAATTGTATGCATTAACTTGCTAAATTTTGATGTTGCTCAGTATTAGTGAGCCTGATTCTCTCATGTAAACGTGGGGAGATCCTTTGTGAGACCTGAAAAAAATTTTATAGTTATGAAAGAAAAATAAGATCTCTAAATCTATGATATAGCATAGTACCTTAGAATTAATAATACTGTATGTATTATATATTTAATTCTTTTCATAGTGTGTAGTGTGTGTGTGTGTGTGTGTGTGTGTATGTGTGTGTAGACCAGAGGTTGACGCTGCTGTGGGACAGTGGTTTTACCCTGTAAAGATTTGTTTCTTGTACTTGTTTAATAAAATGCTGATTGGCCAGTCGCCATGCAGGAAGTATAGTTGGGGCAACCAGGCAGGAAGTAGAGGCAGGGCAATGAGAACAGGAGAATTCTGGGAAGAGGAAAGCTCAGTCTGCTTTCTCAGTAGCCACCCAGACACAGAGGAAGCCAGACACAGACTAAGCAAGATGTGACTGCCTCCCTGAAAAAGGTACCAAGCCACGTGGCTAACACAGACAAGAATTATGGGCTAATATAAGTTATAAGAGTTAATAAGAAGCCTGAGCTACTAGGCCAACCAGTTTATGATTAATGTAGACCTCTGTGTGTTTATTTGGGACTAAATGGCTGTGGGACCTGGTGGGACGGTTACCTCTGGCAACAGTTTTTCTTTGTCATTCTCCCCAAAGATCTTCCTCTCTCCACTTCAGAATCACTGGGGTTACAGGTGTGCACTACTTTCTTTTTATGAGTGCTGGTGTCCTGAATCTTACAGACCGAGCCATTTATCTAGCCTGCTTTACATTTTTTAATGTGTTCGATGTAATATGAGTGTGTTCTAAGTGGTTACACCACAGACAGAATACTAGGATAAATGATTAGAGGTGATGGATATATTCATCGTGGTACCCTGTGGTAAGAGTTAGAGATTCAGGGAAACACATATTCTTCTAAAAGACATTCAGGTGTATATACTAAATAGGTACATGTTTTTGTTTTTCAGATACCTTAGTAAAATGACCTTAAACTTCACTTTAATAAAATTAGTAGTAAATAATAGATGCGAAGAAAGTTTTATTGGTAATTCTTTACGTTTTTGGTTGCTGTTGATGGTAATTCTTGGACTTAGGCGAATGCTGCCCACTGCCCCTGATCACCATTGCCACACCCTGTCGCATCTTCGTACATATTTTCTCACATTCTTCTTATGTGCGCCAAACTATAATGTAAAACTGCAGTTTGAGGAAGGTGGTCACAAGTTCTTGGGAGGTTATCTTTCAATAAGTAAACAATATACCATTTTAATAAGGTCTGCTTCTCAATATTCTATTGCACACAGATACATAGGACCATCTAAAAGAGGACGCTAGAACCTCCACCTTTATCCAAGAGAGGTAAAGTCACCATCATCGAGGACCTCTGGACCACCTCAGTGACAATGGTCTCATAGTCGATGCTAGGAGTGGATGAAAAGAAAGAACATGAAAGAGACATACTCACCGATAAGATCTGGTCACCTCTCTGGAGCTCCCCACTCAGGTCTGCTGGTCCACCGGCCAGAATGAAGGATACAAAAATACCTTCTCCATCTTCCCCGCCCACAATGTTGAAGCCCAGGCCAGTGGAGCCTTTGTGAAGGACTACCTTGCGGGGCTCCCTGTAGAAACAAACGGAGAACACAGCTCACAGGGTGACCCTGCTCAGATTCCGCTTTCTTCTACTATTGTGAGAATATGCGGTACCAGCTGCTCACCACCTGCTACAGTGACGGTGGCTTCCCATGGTAGGGATGCACTTGCAGATGACAAAAAGACCCATGAGGGCAGATATCCGAGTTTTCATCACAACCATCAGCATCTCATGCAACACCATTTCTGAAACACCTTCAAGCGGCATTTCTTCCTCTTTTCTCTTCTAAAGTCTCTGTGATTGTATTGACCATACAATACTCAGTAGACTGGTAAGGCAAAGAAATAAAGGAGAGATGAGGAGAGGAGAGGTATCCATCAGACTGGACCTTGCCAGTGGTGGAAAGCCCTGGAATTTCTGAGGCAGCAAGACTGCTTCAATGAAGAAGATTAAGAAGTGGTCATGTGCACTGTTGACTTGATGGGAGGCGGGAAAACCAGCTGGGATGCATAAAACAGGGAAAGGAGGAGGGCTGGCCACAGTGAGGATACAAGCGAGTGACAGAGGAGAGCGGAACTTGAAGAAAGATGTGGTGGGGCATGGGGAAGGGGAGAGGGCTATTAAGTAACTGTCAGAAAGAGAAGTCACGGGATGCAGGCGTGAGGGGATGATAGTGAGGCATTTCCTGTTCCAGCTGATGGTCACACACCCCTGTGGAGACACTCTTCAGCAGATGGAGACAAATGTGAATTGAGGGTCCTAGAAAAACCAAGAACCCAAACCAAACAAACAAGACAAGACTAAGCAAACAACAACAACAACATCAACAAAACCCCAGAAAAACAAAACAAAACACCTGGATTAAAGAACACACTGGTGACTCATTCCCCCGCTTTGCTATATACATTAGTGTTCATGTGTGCATGTGTGTGCCAGTGACATACATGTGTGGAGGCTAGAAGTGGTGGACTTCAGGTGATAGTCCCAAGGCACTGTCTACTTCCTGAGTATTTCTCACTGACTTTGAACTCACTGATTAGGTTAAGCTGACTGACTAGCCCCAGGCAGTCACCTGTTTCTGCCTCTAGTAGTGAGGTTACAAGTGTGTGCCATTGAGCCTGGATATTTTTGTAGGTCCTGGGGTTTGAACTCATGTCAGATGCTTACTTACTTGGCAAACACTTTCCCAACTGAGTAAGACATTTCTCCTGCACCTAATTCAATTTTTTTTTAAAAAATATTATTATTATTATTATTATTATTATTATTATTATTATTATTTTGTGTGTGTGTATGTGTGTGTGTGTGTTCCAGAGGCAAGCTTTTGGGAGTTGGTTCATTTTTCTATGGGTTCTAAGGATCAACCTCACATTGTCAGGCTAGTGTTGTAAGTTACTTGTTTTTTTTTTTTTAATTTTTTGAGACAGGGTTTCTCTGTGTAGCTTTGGAGCCTGTCCTAGAACTCGCTCTGTAGAGTTCTAGGCTGGCCTTGAACTACAGAGACCCCCTGTCACTGCCTCAGCCTCCCGAGCGCTGGGACTAAAGGTGTGAGCCACCACTCCCTGGCTGCACTCAGTTAATTTTTACCAGCCGAGTCATCCCACCAGTTCTTCATTCAATTTTCCTTAACAGCAACAACAACAACAAAAAATGTGTCCTGTCAGCCTTAAATGTGACCAAAGAGCCTTTCTGACATCCACCTTTCTCCTCTAAGCATCTCAGTTCAATTACTAAAGTTCCTTTATTTTCCTCTCAATGATATATGGCGAGTAAATACCATCCCATATGTCGCTATGCTAATAATAAGGCGAGTCTATTTGTAAGCACATCTCCATGCTTAAAATGATAGATCTATGTTGAACCTCATTATAAGAATGTAAAATGCACATCCAAGCTTAAACCTTAAGTAATATTGTAAATAGGGCTATGTTGTCAAAGGAAAATCGACATATAGTTAATTCACTATATTCTATATTGGCTAGACACTAACTATACCAGGACTTTTTCAAGGTAGGTGGGTTATCAAAATGTTTTCAAAATACATGAAATATTCGTGTCCTGGTGGAATTGCTTTCTGATAATAAGCCACAGAGCCAGCAAATGAACTTATTCTTTATTAGGTTAGAAATCAGTATTTGGAGAAAAAGAGGAAGCAGAGCGATATCCGGTAATGGATTCTCAGCCTAGGCTGTGCAAGCTGTGCAGGAAATGTTTGAGAAGGACTAAGATGAGGATTCTGGTAGTCATGCAGGTACCCAAATGTAGGCACTGCAGATTGAGAAGGTACTGACAATACCCAGACCTTAGTATGTGTGGATTCTGATGTCAAAGAAGAACCAGGACACCACTATGATGAGCTATGATAATGGCTCCAAAAATTCTTGTCAGTCAATTCCAGTGTCATCGAGTGCTGGCAAGTGTTGGCTGTCTTTTCTCTTTGGAGGCTCCCGGGGTTTAGGGGGCTAAGACATTTTTGGTAATAAGCTGACAGGTGCTGGAGCCTGTATAATGTTTTCTGTAGGGAGCTGATGTATTTTACGTTGAACGATGCTTCCCCTGCGGAACATTTCGCCCACGCCAGCTGGGGAGTCTGAGAGTTTAGCTCCCTACCAGAGAGGGGAGCAACGGAGAATTTCAGCGATTCTGCCTTCTCTCGCATATGTAACAGGAGAATTTCAGGGTGGTTGCTAACTCACATATCCTTCACTAGAGTGTGTACTGGAGCCCAGGCATCGTATGAAGTTGGGATAGAGCTCAGTTTCCATAGGGGTGCTGCTGACATAACCAGACAGGCCAAGGTTTCAAGACCTGCTAGGTTGTTTGTTGTTGTTGTTTTGTTTTGTTTTTGTTTGTTTTTTTCCTATTTCTGTGAGAAACTACTATGACCAAAATATACTCAGGGAAGGGAGGGTTTCTATTAACTTATAGTTCTAGTGGGATAGAATCCATGGTGATAGGGAAGGCATGGTAGCCAGAGACAAAAGGACCACATTTTTATCCACACACAGGAAGTAGTGGGACAGAACAGGAAGCAAGGTGTGGTTCTAAAACCTAAAGCCCGCCCCCAGTGACACAATTTCTCTCTCAAGTCTCTACTTCTTAAAGGTTCCTTTAAAGTGGCCAACCCCTCTTATAATGGGACTGACTCTAACAGGGCCGGTTGTCTGTTGGTCCCCCCCACCCCCCACCATATCAGATGGTTGACCCCTGCATGCTGGAACTTCTTAGTAAACGTTCTTGCTGATTGCATTTGTGACTGGTGGTCTTTTATGGGACTGCTTGCGGATGCTACCATCCATAACCTCCCCAATCAGCATCACCAACAAGGTACTTAGCACTCAACTACATGAGCCTGTGGGGGACATTTCTCAAATGTAGTATGACTTTCCCCTTCCCCTTTCTGCCGCACTAATGCTGGTCTGGGTAAAAGTTCAGTTCTCATTCTGTCTGTTCAGTGGAAGAAGTAAGTAGATAGCTATCTTATAATTGTTTTCCCTGGCTACTTGGCAGAGATATAGAGAAGTTTACCTCTCTGGGAAGACTCATGCTAGCACAGTGGGGAGAGACTTCCTTCCTTGTATGCTTGCCTACAGTAGGGTCGGAATAGCATTATTAAAACTGTGACAGCATGCACAATAACCGCGTATGTTTAAGTCAGACAAAATCCTGGCAGTGAGAAGAGAAAGCTGGTACAAAGTCCCACCTTAACCAAAGAGAAGTTGTTTGCAATTGATACCAACTGGGAAAGGGGAGGTAAGTTTTCTCTAATAGAGTGATGCTGGGTATCTCCGCTACACTCCAGGGCAGGCCTCATAGTCAGGAGAAGTAGGCCAAGACAAAATGGAGTCTTTGTTTTTTGTTGTTGTTATTATTTGGTGCTTTTTGTCTGTTTAGTCTTAACCTAGTGTTTGTTTTTTTGTTTCACTTTTATTGTTTGTTGAGCAAGGGTAGGGGGCAGGGAAGAAGAGAGAGAACATGAAGTTGGGTGTTGTGTAGCAGTTTCCTCTGAGACAGAAACACTCCATACTAGAGAGAAGCTGCTTAAAACTTAAAGTAAACAACTCAAAAACAGCTTCAGGAAGTCCCTGAAACTGACCAGATACACTAGGCCTATTCTTCCCACAAGCAAACAATAAAGACTGCTAAGAGTGCCTCTGAGACAAGATAGGCTGCTACAAAGAAGACTGAGATCAGACTGGCTGGCTGTAAGACACAGAAACCTGCTGAGTGCCCTGGATCTTAGAGGATTAGGTCAATTGAGGCACTTGAAAGAACATTCTCCAGTATGTAGAGCGGCCGAAACGTTCTGTTCTGTAGTGTGCTCCAGCTTCCCAGCTTTTGTGAGCTGTTACCTAGTCTGGGAAGGGCTTTGGTGATTCAAGTGATGAATTACTTCTGCTTCTGGAAATAACCCATTAACTACACTCCTGTAAGCAATCCCAACAAAACTCATTGGTACACCAAGGTGGACTGTGGTGGTATTTCTACTTTGGTCTGTTGTGGGCTTCCTGTCTGGGGGTAGTGGGTGGGTATGCTGTGTCTTTCCAGGAAAAGTCTTGACATACAATAGGCAGGTAGGGAGATGGGGAGGATTTGGTCGAACTAGGTTAGGGTAAAGGATGTGATAAAAATATATTGTATGAAAAGTTTATAAAAATAAAAGAATTCTCCTCTTTTTTTGGGAACTCATCCTTCTCCCAGACCCTAGTCTGGAGAGAAAGGGTTGACTTTAGGGTTTTGGCTTGTTTGTGCCTGTTGGCAGTAAAGAATACAGGATTCTCCAGTGTCTTTCCATTGTATATAAGATACAAGAAAAAAATGGAAGTTCTAGGAACTCATTCCTGCCCTTTTATGCCTTCTGTGAGACAGTTTGCTTCTTCTTCAGATGGTTTTCTAGCTTTTGGAGATTTCCAGTTTGCTGGGATTTTTATGTTCAAAGTTTTTTTTTTAAATATTTATCAATTAAAGAAGAGGGATGATTAGCGAGGAGCGGACAGTACATGTGCCATCTGGTCCTTGGGCAGACTG